ACAGTAATCATATGCATCTTATGTAGAGTGCATCCATTTGTCATGTTATTGACCATAATTCTTCCGTCGAACTTAATTTTGTGAAATTGAAGCGGACGGGGACCAGATGGTTACTTTTGAAACCTTGGAGATGTTTTTCGTCACTCGCGCAACCTTCAGGGGGTTTTCTGTGATCTACCCAACTTCCTGTTCTTCCAAGCTTATTCAAATGTGGAATTTGGTGCAGTGACAAAGCCTGGGTGGCATTAGTTTTGTTTGAGGCTGTTCCTTTCAGTACTTCACTTTTTTCTTTTTTCCACCCAACGCCAACTGAGTTTGTCTCTTGATTAAATCTATAGTTGAGTAAAGGGTTAAGTGTTGATTTTAATTAATAAGAAACAGGTGGACATTGTATCTGTTGAGATCTGAGCTTCGGAATTCTTTATCAATTTTTTAGAGCATTGAATCGAAAAAAAAAACAGTTGTTTTTTTGCATTAATGTCTCAAGGACCCAAGGCATGGGACAAGTGAGGTGTTGATGGTTGCATGATGCACTGTTTATGAACAGTGTATCATGCAACCGGATGGTGACACCTCACTTGTCCCATGCCTTAGGTCCCCTATTTGGGTCATTGTAGCAACACCTGTTTTTTTGTGTAATGTTTGTTGGAAGACTAAACGATGCAGGAATAGTCGCATTAAACCGATAAAGTTGATCTTAGTTTTCTTTCTAATTGCAGTGTTTTAGATTATTAAGTTGGATGACTTTTGAAAATGTTTGCTTGTTTATTTCGTTCAGTGGGAAAGGTGAATTTGAGGGGTTTTTTTTCTTCCATTCTTCCTTTCAAGGGGTTGTTTGGTTCACGGAGAAATTGAGAAAAGAAAATCAAAGAACCCGACACACCCATGCAGGGGTGTCATATTTCCCAAAAGAAGAAAAAAAAAATATTTCTTTTTGTTTGGTTGAGAGAGGAAAAAATAAGAGAGATTGTGCATGTGAGACTTACCTAATAAGGAGGTAGTAAATGCTATGAGCCTCAAAATAAAAGAAACCCATTTTAGCAAAAAAAAAAAAAAAGACGGGAAATGGATTTGAAAACAAAGAAATGGGTCTTACAGCTTATTTCTCATGGGTCATTTCCCAAACTTAGGCTTTTGGGAAATGAACCAAACAGGCCCAGACCTCCGAGAAAAGAGAGAAATTCTGAAGTAGAAATTTGTTGGCACTATAACAATTTCATCCATTTTTCTTGACACGAGACTTTTCATAAAAACTAAAACACAAAACTTTCGGTTGAGGATCTTTCTTCTGATTCGTGATATGAAATTTACTTTTTGTGGATTTCTTAAAATTCCTCCAAAACTTATTATGAGTTTCACATCAGACCTTCGTTGGGGGGTCCGATACATGTTATGTCAATCAATCTTGATAAGCATTTCTAAATTTAAGTGTAACTTGCATTTCATTATAACCAATATTATCTAAAGCTTAATTTCACTTAAATACTCTATTTTGCACTTGTATACACTCACTTGTTTTTAACATCACTAATATATCCTAAAATTTTTAAAACTTGTATTTATATACCCTCACATATCTTAGCATCACTTAATATCGTAATTTTTTTTAGAAACTTACACTTAAATACCCTAAAGTTTGTAAAACTACACTCAAATACCCTAAAGTTTTTAGAACTTACACTTAATTACCCTCAACTTTGCATAATGAGGGCATATAAGTGCAAGTTTTAAAAGCTTTAGGGTATTTAAGTGCACACTTTTAAAACTTTAGGGTATATAAGTGCTGCCAAAACAAGTGAGCGTATATAAATGCAAATTTTAGAAGCTTTTAGGGTGTTATAAGTGCCGCTAAAGACAAGTAAGGGTATATAATTACAAAGTAGGAGAAACTATAGCGTATTCTAATGCGATTAAACCATTTTCTAAGGAATAACGTTTGCTTGAAATGTTGTGGGTGGAAAAATGATAGGGGCACACCCTCAACCACACCTCCAACCACACCCCCACTTTCATTTGCTACAGTGCACCGGGCCTCACATGAGATTTTAAAATTTTAAAATCTCATGTAGGGCCCGGTGTACTGTAGCAAATGAAAGATGAGGTATGGTTGGAGGTGTGGTTGAGGAGAGAGCTGACTAGGCGTCAAATCAGTATGTACGTCAGACAGTTGACCTTCGGTTGACCAAGTGGCCAAGAATCCGACAATGAATCATGAGGATATTTAACAATTTCCGTTGTGGGCCCAAACTGTTTTGTTAGCTCGTGCGTAATAGACCGTGTTTTTATCCTTTTACCAGGCTTTCTTCCAAAGCCAAAAGGCCCATTGTATGCAACCGTATTTTACCACTGATTATAATCAGTGGTAAAATAGTTTTATTTAGAACTCGTTAACAGACGTATGAATACTAACTCATGAGCACAGTTGCAAATTTCGATGTTTTAATGGTATACACGTGACCGTTTCTTGAGTGATAAACAAGATTATTTTTTTCATTAATGGTTAGATTAATCCAATAGGCATTATTCTGATTTAACCCCTTACTGATGCTAAATATCACTGCTCCAAGCTTTGGCTCCTAAAAGGCCAAAAGCACTACTAGAGACCCTTTTTCTTCAATATTTGACTAGTAATTTTCTTTGCTTGTTGCCCTACGGAATAATGTCTTGTAGCTTTAGGGGCTAAGCTTGCCTCAACTTGATTCATTTTATTTTTGGATCAAAACATGCTCCAACTAAACTGAGCCTTGACCGAATCTTGAAGCTTAAACCTTAAGGACCGCTATTTTAAAGAGTTTTACCAACCCCCCTTTTTTTATTTTTTTAATCAGAACACTCTTAACCCTTTTTAATCATTACGTTTTGGTGCACAAAAAAATTATATTTGTAACTACAAATACAACTATAGATGTAATTGTTTGCGCTATTGTAACTACCGTTGTAAAAAATCATTTTCGGACGACTTAAGGCCCCGTTTGGAACCCAAATTTTTCTGGGTATTTTGGGTGAAAGCCTGACATTGTGTCAGGCTTTCACCCTAAAACGCCTCTAAAAAGAGACGTTTTAGGGTGAAAGCCTAACACAATGTCAGACTTTCACTCAAAATATTCAAAAAAATTTGGGTTCCAAACGGGCCTTATAAGCTAAAACAAATTCCATTCGTGCACTTGATTAAAAAATTGCCGGAAACAAACAGTCATAATTTAATTTTAGTTATTATTAATTCTTTTGAATGAATTGGTCAAGTGAGGAAAAACAAATTCCATTCGTGCACTTGATTAAAAAAATTGCCGGAAAAGAACCGTTTAAAGCTGTAAAGCTTCCTTATTCAATCTCCGTACTAGCCTTCACGATGAAAGAATCTTGTAGCTTTTTTTTTTCTATTTTTCCACAGTTTTAGGACTAATACTTCCCTAAAAATCTCGGGACAAGTCTCTTAATGAAGCTTCTATGATGCTAATCTTTTTTTTTAGTTAATTAGGCTAAAGTCGGGTTTTAGCTAATAGGATTTGGGCTCATCAAGGGAGTACTAAAACAAGGAGAAATAGGATTTGGAATAAGCCAAGTGGGTTTCTTTTTTGTAGATCCATCATTAATGTGTATAATATTTTGTGAGTTCATTGTATTATGAGAAATGCAATGAGTATGTCGGTAGACTTAGTAGCCTTTAGGTGTAAGTTTCATATTGAAGGCTAGATGCATTTAGGCGCCGAACTTTGATCCTTTACATTTCTTATTTCATGTCGAAATTTTCATTTTTTTTTTTTGCACATCAGTCTTATTTACATCTAGAATGACACTAAATTGTTCTACTATAAACTAACAGTCCTCTGTATTTAAACTACACTCATTTTGATCAATAACTTTTCTTATTTTTCCATCTAAAAAAGATGGAATATAAAGGGGGATTAAGCAAGTCAATGAAGTGTTTTTGTAATGCGATTTCTCGGGCATTAGTCGTTCGCGCATGCCGCTCGCAACCCGACACCGATTATCGTGCACCGACCATCAATCGATGCAGAAGCGTCGTCGGAACACATGATTAGATATTCTTGTTCTTTGTAGACCAATCGATCGTGGGGTGATTTAAAAACACTGAGAAAACCCCTGTTAGAACTAAAAATAATAATACGCCGCAGAAAATAGATTAAGAGATAAAGACACGGGATTTACGTGGTCTCAGCACGGACCTATATGTCAATGGGGGAGAGAATTGAGTTTCTTTCATTCTACAACAAGATAATTGGTTCTTGTGATCTAGATAGATCACACAAAAGACCCTATCTCAATCTCACCGAAAAATCGCTCATTATTGCTCTCTATTTCTCTCTTACAATGTGCAACTCTCCTTGATTCTTCTATGACTTGATTTACGACGAACTTCTTAAGTGATATTTGAAGAGTTTTCCTTTTAATTAGAATTCCCGTAATTGATTCTTTCCAATTAATTCAATCCTCAATCCGAGTCCAACTACGATTTCCTGAAATACAAGGCTATTTCCCAACATTAGTTTGGTGGTGCCATTAGTAGGAGCGTGTGCGGTGAGCACGCTCCGTGTCAATTCAAAAACTCCACATCTCGCTTCTTGTCGCAAAATTTTTGTGCGTCAATTGTGTTAAATCGGAGTACTTATAAATGGTTGAACGTAAATGTTTTGATTTATGATGATGAGTGTGGGGCATTTATGGCACTGAAATATCAATCAATGTCACGTAAGGGGTATAAATGAAAATCTGTATTTTCCCCCCCTTTTTCTTTTTCTTCTCGCGACACAGGTGCTATTGGATGGGAGAGCTTAACGTTAGATGTTAGACCTCGTTCTCAAAATAGAGAAAAGTATCCAATTTTCTTTTTCTTTTTCACGGCATAGGTGCTGAGTGGATGGGAGAACTTAACGTCGAAAGTTAAGACCTTATTCTCAAAGTAGAGAAAGTATCCAGTGGAAACGATTCACATCATTTAATGTGCATCAAATGGATCTTAATCCTACGCGCAAGTCCCAGAGCCTAATGGTTCTACGATTGATTGACACTCGTTTGGTGCGCATTTAATGCCATGAATCCGAGACCATTTGATACTTTCTCCTCAAAATGAGTTGAACTCAGAACCCAAACGGTGCATCCAAAAACATTCCACACCTACCCAAAAGCTCTAGTTTTTAGCATCTTTTTCCTCAAATTCCATGGGCCAATTACCGAGAGCATAGAAGCTCAAAACAAAATTCGTGATTCCACTATTACCCACCCCCAACCATCAACCGACCACTAACGATCTAAACCCTAGCCAGGGCCCAATCTGACCCTGCTACATTGGTACTTAAGACCCATGGAGAATAATCACCCAAGATCCTCATGGGCCCCCACAGTAGTCAACGCCAATCGTGGGCCCACAACCCCCAACCCCCCCACACCGCAAAGCTCTATAAATCCCATTCCTTAACCCCCCTGTTAACTCCCCAAACCCAAAAGAAACACACAATGTTCCGTTCCTCTTCAGCCCAATACAACGACAGCAGCGCTTATGCTTCGGCAGGACCCCGGCCTTAACCGGCGCCTCGACCCTACACAAGCCGCATCTCTCTACGACGCAGCAGCAGCTACGCGGCAGCGCTCCCTTCTTCCCTGCCTTCGAACAATTACTTCATGCACCGCAGCTGCAGCCCCACTCCTTCACCCACAGCGTGCCGGACCCCGCACCGAACCCCTTCTTCTCCTCGTCGTCGCCGCCGTCCTCGGTCTCCGACTTCCTCGACTTCCACCACGAGCCCGTCCGCAGGGTCTACAGCACCGGTGACCTACAGGTACCGTTTAACACTCGAAAACAGAGAAATGTTTTGTTTTCGGAACCGCCAGCTGTCTATTGAACATGACCCCGTCAAGCAAAAAGTTTGAATCGAATCACATTCTCACAGATTTTTTTTTGAGATTTCACTCTCCGTAAATAAACACCGGAATTTGCTTAATTTGATGAGTTGGGTTGCAGGCTTCGACAGAGAACTGTGTACAGGATGGGTCAGCGACGGTGGGGAGAGTTGGGAGGTACACGGCGGAGGAGAGGATGAAGAAGATTGAGAGGTATCGGAGCAAGCGCAACCAGAGAAACTTCCACAAGAAGATCACCGTATGCATTCAACTTTTTTTTTTTTTTTTTGCATATA